TTGCAAAAAGTGACAGCAGTGGGGAGTCCAGTGCATCAACTATTATTCTAGATAAATCACCAGTTAGATCGATGGGCACCCCAGTGCACCACCAGGATGGCAGTGATGAAGAATGTAAGTATAATATAATGCACCCTCTTATTACACCCTGAGTGTAAATGTGGTTTGGACGATACTTTTTGTTTTTTTGTTAAAGATTCTGCTAACAATGGAACACAACTACTTCACTGTTTATCTTGGAATCTTTGTGTTCCATTTAATAGTGACAACTTCACAGGATTAATGAACAATTTTAAGATAGGTGGTTAGTTAATTTGTTGATCTAATTTACAGATATATTTTGGTATTTTTGTTTTATTGTTTTGCACCAATAACAGATATATAAAGCCTTACTGTGGCAATAAATGATTTACACACCTCTGCTCTGTGTGTTTAGCTGGTTCAGCTGACTTCTTTGACAGCCAAAAAACCCAGGCAAGACACTACAAGACACTTCAAGAAATATACAAGACCAAAAAACCGAACAAAGCTGCTGTTACCCAACTGCTGAACCTGGAGTTTGAGTCTAGAAGACAATTCATTAACTCTGATGCAATAAAGGAGCAGGACAGAGCAGTGAAGATACTAGAGGCATATCCTTGTTTCAGAGAACTGGATCATGTAAGCAGCACTTATTTCTTTTAGCCATCCTGTTATTCCTTTGGAGACATTTTGATATGATTGTCAAATTTCTTAAATACTGGCCCTCATGTTTAAATTGTTATCACTTATTGTCAAGACCAGATACAGAGCTAGACAGATCTATCTCAGTTGGGTTTCTGTCTGTATTTTTCAGGTCCTTGATGAGCTGCGGAGAATTATTCAACCATCCAACTTGAAATACATTTCTGAGATGAAGGATAGATGGGAAATCTTCTACTCGAAGGTGCAGTTTTATGGTGTCATGAAGAAAGTTATGAAGCCGCCAAAAACTTTGGATGGAGGTAATGCTACAGTATCTTGATTTGTCTACATTTATGCTTTGCAGATTACATTATTTGCAATGCTTAATGGTGTTGCCCTGTCTTATTTTTCTTTTTTCAAACCAGTGGAACATGCAGCAGCTGTGTTCAGAGCCCTTCCCGTGCTTTTCCCTTCCAGCACAGTACCACCTAAGAAGCTGGGCATCTGTAGTGAGGCTTTTTTCCATGTCCTAAAGGTAAGGCTGCAATATTCTATGTGTATATATTGTTGAATTTTGCAGTTACTCATGTTTTCATTTTATATATTTTACTGTGGAGTCAGTCAAATATTCTTAAAGTTCAGATCCCCATAACATGTTGATGTTAATAAAACCTACAAAAAAAGTTGATCTATTTTAAACTGTAATGCAACTCAAAAATTGTGTTTCTTACGGTCTTGTTCTAATCCTCTTTTTTTTCTGTCATGTAGACTTCAGAAGACCCTGAAGGCTACCTGTGTCAGCGACCCCTGGCTTGTCCAGTTCTGCTTGTCTCTGAAGGCAACTGCATGATAGCTGTTGGAACCACACCGGTGAGCACTTTTGACCGGAAGGATCTTAATGAGGGACTGCTCTATCTGATGGCATATTACTATGCCCTCCACCTCACATATCCAAAGTGCATTTCCACGCTGCTGTCTGTCTTGCAAACTGAAATACTCAAAGACTCCATCCATGACCGAGATTCAACCCCCTCTTACAAGAAGGCGCTTGGTGAGTGGAAGTCATTCATTGAGTGAGTCTCTCAGATGACAGACTCCATCTGCCTTGTTTATCAGACTCAGTGTTAGTCAGTGAGGTTGTGTTTTTTTTTTCTCTAGAAAAGTTGTTCAAATGTAAAACACATGTTTGTTTGTGTGGTCGTTAAACTTGTTCTTCTAAAATGTTATGTAATATAGGATTTGAAATAGTGATTGTTTTAAGCTTCAGCAAAATTTATTTTTGATACCAGCCATGAGTGTGTTATACTGTTATTATTCATGTTAAGAGTATCTTGAATATGCACTTCTTATATTGGCCATGTTACACAGTACCCTGCTGAAATGTATAATTTTAGACATGATTCTCCTGGAACAGACCTCAGTGAGTTACTGACCCATTGCTGTGTCAATAAAAGCGCAAAATCTAAGAGTGCTTTTGCTGTCTTAATTTAAGATGAATTCCCTTATTTTTAGTAGCTTTTTGAAGAGATGGTGTCTTATTCTCAGGAATTTTTGCTGATTATTGTTCTCAGAGTCAAAACATAATTCTTATAGTTAGCTCAATCAAGAAAGAAACAATTCAGTTTTAAGAAAATTTGTCCTATGGTAAGGTGTTTTTTTTATGTGAAAAATCTAAATTAAGGTGTCGAATCTTAAAGTAAGCAAATAATTCTTGAAAACAGCTTGTTCAAGAAAGCATAATACTCATTTTAGGTACAGATTTTCTAAATATCAAAGTATCTTTTACTTATAATAAGTCACATTTTCTTCAAATAAGCATACATTTTAGACAATTTTGTCTAGTTAAAAGGCATATGGCAGTTAGATTAATTTGCTAGTTTTAAGAATTCTAGTCAAGCAACTTTTGCTTACCCCATTGGCAGATTTTTTTACTCAAAACAAGAAAATTTTGTCAGATTTAAGAATATTTGGCTTGTTTCAAGTATAGCTGTTTTTGCAGTGAAGGTTTTAAAAAATCTGGGATATTTTGTGCACTTGATTAACTAACTTATATCAACCATTACCACAAAAAAGTATTTTATCACTAAAACCTCTGGACTGTATTTGATTGATAAAAGAAATAAAATTCTAATTAAAATACAAAAAAATTGAATTCAATTGTTTGCTCCTCCAAAATGGAAAATTAAGTTTAAATAAGCAAGAACATAGCCGGTACTCACCAACTCTCTGACCCTGAACACCCAGCAGAATCATAGTGGTCATCACTGAAGAGATAAAAGCGCTGCCGACTTTTAGGGGAACTAATAAAACATTTTGTTACATATCATAACTTGACCACTAGGCTATGGGCTACTTTGGTTTCAAGTAAAACAAACTAAATCATCACATTTTAGACAGAATTTATAACTTTAACCTTTTTTAAGGTGCATTAATGGTATGTGACAAAGAGGACATCTCATAACCGCTCCATAAAAACGCAGTCCTTTCTCCTTGACACGTTTTTAACAGAATGAAAAAGCTTTTATTTGTTGCGTAATATATTTATCTATTTTATTTTATTATTACATATGATATGTATATTTATTATTTATGTGTATTTATCTTATTTGTTTACACATGTAAATTTTTTTTCAAATGTGGAAATTGAGAAATTACTCACACAGTCTGATGCCGAGAGCTCTGACATCCATGTTGTTTTGCTGCAAACTGAAGACTGAGGTGTTACGGCAGTGAGCACGGGTGTCTTCCTGCTGCTCAAACTGTTTTAATATCAAATATTTTTACAACTTCATGCAATGCAACAAAGTAGTTTAATGAAAGTAGTTTCCACTGAGACCGATTTGCTCTTATGACAAGTTGGGCCTCACTGATAGTGAAGTTCACTGTCAGTGGGTGGAACAAGTAACCACTTCAGACTTTTGCTGCATTTGACACAATTAGCAGGCTGGTTCATGTTTCCCACGCTCGCATTGTTACTTTGATGTTCATAACTAGCTTGTAATGACTTAACTGATGGTACAGTAATATCATTACAGAAAATAAAAACAAACTTAAATCTTGTTCATACTTTACAGTCTGTAAACTATACAGAGTATAAAATCTGTACCAATTTCTTATTTAATAAGATATTTCAACACATGAATAAACACACAGTTTTTTTGTTTGCACAAGAGAAATGTTAAGGAAGCATATGAAAGCCATCAATAGTTACAATCTTCAAACCATTTTGTGGTAATCTGTTCAATATATGATGAGATATTTCACATATTTCACACACTTTGCCAGATGTCTTAAAGCAATTAGATTTAATTAGAAACTAAGAATCTTCTGATTTTGTTGAAATAACATCTATAAAATATTGAGTATTGTGCTTGGTCTCACCATTTCACAAAATGCTGATCTACTGGAATTGAACCAAAATTGGACAATAATGAATTTGAAAAATGTGTTGTTGTTTTCTTGGCACACTTTGGGCCCCTTAGTACCAACTAAGCATCATTTAAATGCCACAACCAACCCAAGTATTCTTGCTGACCACGTCTTTCCCTTTATGCACACAGTGCATCCATGTTCCAGATGGCTGCTTGCAGTACGATAATGTTCATGTCACAAAGTTAAAATCATCTCAAACGGATTTACAGACTTTACTCTCGAGCCCTCCACAGTAATCAGATCTCCATCTAATATAACACCTTTGGGAGATTTCAATCATTGATCTTCAGCTGAAAAATCTGCATCAACTGTGCCATGCTATCATGTCAATATGGACCAAAATCTCTGGGGAATGTTTTCAGCATGTTGTTGAAACTATATCATGAAGAACAAGAGTATTCAGAAAGCACAACTACCCCCAAGGGCTAGGGATTTACTAAAACGTTGATATTTTGTGACGTTTCCTTTACAACATGATGAAGTAAACCTGTTTTTATTACAATATAATGACATCAGTCAGTTATGGAATCACTGTAATATCTTAAAGCAGTGTGTTAAAAACAAAATGTTGCACAGCTCTTTTCATGCCCTTTCATACGATATATCACGAGGTCAACTTTGACCTCGGGCACAAAACATGAAGTTTAACCCTCAGCCAAGTGAGGTACTGATGCCTCCCAATGACTGGTATAGAAAACAAAATTTTAAAATGTATATATACATTTTTACTGATTTTCACATTTTTGTGTGACCTTTACTTAATTTTCACAAAACTAAATCAGCTCAAAGTGTTATATTTATCTGCCATCACAGAAAATTGGAAAATGATATATTGTGGAGGCTGGGCCGATAACAAACAGATAAAAAACATGTAACTGATTACATGTCTCCTCCCTTCAGGGGGAGAATTAAGGCAATACTGAAAGCAAAAAGGGGTCCAACCTAGTACCAAATAAATTAATAAGTGATGAGTGTATACAAGAAAGTAATGTTTATCATGTGATCATTGTGGTCTCATGATAAGCTCATTTGTTTGAGCCTCTGGATATTCAAACTTTTCAACTAAATTTAGCCATATACCCTAGCAACCACACTTTCACATTCTGATACAAAATTTGAACCACGCTTGAAGTTAACATCATTTAGGATATTTAACTATGTTTATATCCTTACATGCATTGAATTATTACTGTGATTGGCTGATAAGATATTTCCATTGGGGTTTGTTTTGTTTTTTTTTGGGGGGGGGGTTTGTGTCCCGTTTGGATCTTTAGCCATCAGAATTGTTGTCTTAAGGCCAAGAAAGATGCCAAGCGGATTTATTTTACCAAGTGGATCATCATGGCCTTGCCATATTGGTCCATTTGAGTGACCTTTATTATAATTATGTATTTATTTTATTTTTGGTTGCTACAAACGGGACAGACATGACTGGGGGATAGGACAGGGAGAAAGAATAAAAGAGAGGGAGAGAGAGAAAACCAAAGGGGAGAAGAGACGGTGAGAAAGGGGGGAAGAAAGAAAGAAAAACAAACAAAACACCTGGATCACCTTTATGGAGAAAAAAAA